TCACTCTCTGGGGACAGGGAAGAGCCTGGTGAAAAGCTAGGCTAGGGTACGAGATGAGGGTGGGGGTGTGGAGCTGGCGCGGGGTGTCAGGGGCGGCAGCATTGAGCTGCCAGGGTGCAGGACTGGTTTGTAGTATCCATCTGGACCCTGGAAGCTTCCCAACTGATTCACCTCTTTTTACTCTTTACTCCCTGCTGGGAGCGGCTCTTCAAAAACCTAACAGAGGCAGACCTGGGAGCCATAAACCTCTACACTGGTTCTTTCGGGTCTGAAGGGCTTGTGGCCAGTGCAGGGCCGGTCTCCAAAGGTTACGGGCTGTGTGAGTCCCTAAACACGGCAGTTTCAAAGGAAGAAAAGGACCAGGTTAGAGGAGAGGCCTCGTGAGAAAGAAGGCGGGAGATGTGGGGATAAAGGGACAATGGGAAGGGGCGGAAAGAGTTGGCTCAGCGGTTAAGAGCACTTATTGTTCTTGCCTACCACCCTGGTTCGTGTCCCATGCAGCTCACAGCTGTCTGTAACTCCAGTCCCAGATGCCCTCTCCTGGTATTGATGGGCACCAGTCGGGCAGATACATACACACAGGCAAAAACATTCATACACATAAAATGTGCTTCCCCAGCTTTGATGCTGGAGATCCACCAAATGATTCTAAGCAAATGTTCTTCTGGGAACTGTCTCCAGCCCAAGAATGGGGCTTTTTTTTTTTTTTTGGACAGGGTCTCACCCTGGAGCTCTGGCTGGCCTAGAACTCACTATGTAGACCAGGCTGGCCTCAGACTCACGGAGACCCACCTGCTTCTGCCTCCCAAGTGCTGGGGTTAAAGGCTTGTGCCATAGTGTCTGGCAGAAATGGGACTTTGAAGCGATGGAACCATTCTGTTTTGATTATGGTGGTGGCTGTGAGAATCTGTACAAATGAGAATTCTACACAAGGACACACTACAAAGAGTGTGCAAAGGCCAGTGGAGCAGGCAAGTCCCATAGCACACAGGGTGTAAGGAGTCCACGCCTCCCAGGATGGACGTGCACAGCAGTTACGTAAGATGTCATGGTGGGGGCTGGGTGCTGACAATGACCTGAAACTTCAGCACCAGGAGATTCAGTGCTCTCTTCCAGTCTCAGCACATACCTGCACACAGGTGGAACACACACACACACACACACACACACACACACACA